AGATTTGTAGGTGCTGGAAAAAGACTTGATATTTCTGATGATTGTTTATTAAAAGATGTTATTGAACAATCTTGGAGACACAACCCATCAGAAAGACCTACGTTCAAAGAAATTGGTGTAATGTTAGATTCTAAGTTTAAGATAGTTAATGATAAATCAAAATCAGATTCTCATAGAGATCAGTCTGCTTCAACAAAAACTGAAACAAGATCAAAAGAACTTTCTTCAGAAAGAGTCTCAACAACTAATACAACTGAAGAAAGTATTGAAGCGTCAGTATCATCACAAGTTCCTGAAACTGGAGTAGAAAATGATTAAAATTTTTAATTAAAAAGAAAGTACAAGAAATTTAATTTGTCATTTTTTGAAAAAAGAATAAAACAAAACAATTTTATCAAAGAAATGATGAATTTTTATCTTTATTATTATTAAAAAAAATAAAAAAATTATTAAAAAAAATAAAAAATGTAGAATGAAAAATCAAACTAAAAGTCCTTCTAAACAAAGAATTCGTTATAAAGATTGGAAGTGTAATTATCCTGGTTGTAATGAACCAGCAAAAACTAAATACAATTGTACTTCACATGTTTGGGATGCACATCTTAAATTTATATATAATGAATTTGGTGGAGTTGCATTTAAAAATTTAGAAAATAAACAATTCCCAAAAGAAATGTGTGAAAAATATATTGAATTTGTACCAGATGAAGTAAATATTCGTAAAAGAAAATACCCTCTTGTTACAAAACAAAGTAATAAAAAAAATGAATCTCCGTTAATTACCTCGTTAGTTTCTACTAACAGTCTAAATAATATTACTCACTCTTCTGAAAATCAGATTGACACTTTATCACCTCCTTCAGAATCATTGGCTGGTCATGAAATTTCAGATTTTAATGACCTTCCTCCAATTATTCAAAAAACTTCATTTCCACAGTTATCTCAAACACCCCAACAATTATTTTGTTCAACAAATATTGATGATTTTATTAAAGTACTTCAAGTTTCTCCTTCATTAAAACAACTTCATATCTTTGGTGCTGTATTTGCAGAAAATGGTTTCTTTCAACGAAGTGACTCAAGAACAAAAACAAAAATTGCACCAATTAGAAATGCATTAGAAAGACTACTTAATGTTACTGGCAAGATGTACACATATGATGTTGCTAATGCAGAGACGTATGGTTTTATAGCTCAAGAATTAAAAGAACAATTTCCTGATTTAGTCCATGAAGATGAAAGCGGATATTTATCTATTGATCCTATCAGTCTTATTCCTTTTATTGTTGAATCAGTTAAAGAATTAGATAAAGAAATTATACCTTTACAAAATTCATATACTCTTGCTGTTAAGTTACTAGAAGAATCAAACAAATTATTACAAACAATTAACCAATTTACTGTAGATTTTTCATTTTCTCTTGGACCTCGATATATTACTCTACCTAGTGCTATTATCATTACTATACTTAGTGTTATTTTATCTATATTATATCCTTCACTTCCTTTTATTTGGGGATATTTTGCATTACTTAGTGTTGGGTTATGGTATTCATCTCGTTCATCTAATGTCAATGTAAACAAAGAAACAACAAAATTTGGAGTTTCAGGGTGTATTGTAGTTGGAATTATCTGTGGTTCATTAAGTTTTCTTTTTGGTTGTTCAATTCAGTTCATAGGAATTTACAGTATTGTTGTTTTGATTGTATGGACTATTGGTCAATTTTATGGTGATTGGTTAAAAATATTCAATATGTTTATTGTCATATCTATTCTATTTAGTGGAATAATGTTTATGCTATCAATAATTCAACCAGGATACACATGTCATGCAGGTGTAGTTGATGATTTGATTTATGTTAATAGATCACCATGGAATTGCCTTGACCCAGAACTTGGATTTATATTTGAAAATAATGAAATTGTATGGCTTGGGTCTAAAGGAGAAACGTTGTTGAATCCAATTAATCATCAAAATGCTTCTATAGGTGTTGTTCTAAAATGTTCTGATTTTGTAAATTTTAAATGTGGAAATATCTATTATTGAATAAGACTTATTTGTTTTAAAGAACCAAAAATTAAATTACTTGTTTTATTTTAAAACAGTTTAGATATTTTTAAATAATAAAGACAATGTGTTAATTCCTTCAATTACACCATCATCTATTTTTGATATATGAGTTGACATATTGTAATAATGTGAAAAGTCTATCATCCTACAATCACATTGATAAGACTCAACGTCATAAACAAAGAGTAATGAACTTGAAAAAAAGTGATATTTCATTTTTTTAATACAATTTTTAATCTTTTCCATTTGTTGAAGATAATAATTAATAATTCTATCTTTTTCAAAGCCTAATTGATGAATGAATATTGATAATAATTTAATTGTTTCTTCTCTTGAATGAATTTCAAGATGAATTTTTTTATTTATTGAAAATGAATAACCATCTTTTTGTGTTATTGTCATTCCACAAAACCTAAACCCAAGTGTATTTTGTGTTGTTAAAGCATCTAATTTTATTCGTTCTTTTTTTCTGTTTTCATCTGTTTCATCACACCATGTTTTATTTCCTATTTTAATATCTAACACACATGGTTTTAAGTATTCAGAAATAATATTTTCTATTGAAATGAACGTATCATTATTAAATGTAAAAGAATTAAAAAAGTATGGAATTAATCCTTTCCAGTCTATTAAATCTTTATTTTCTAAATAAAATTCTAATTCCTTTACAAAAAGGTTATTTTATGTAATTAATATTTAAAAAAAAAAATAAAAGAAAGAATTTAAACAAACTCTTTTATAACTTATCTTTTTGATAAGATAATTTCCTTGTTGAATAATACACCCTTGATGACCACCTGCTTGGAATTGAGAGTTATGAATTAAGTATTTAGTTATATATGGTAAATCCATTTAAAGAATTTAAGTTCAACAATTTTTCTATTTAAAATAAAATATACTCTTTTCATTCAATAAAAACTTAGTAAAAAAAACACTACCAATTATTCAGAAACAAATTCTTTGTTTTGTAATAATGCAGTAGCAAAAGTTTTTCCCCACTCGAAACATTCTTTAAGACTCTCTTCAGTAGGTTTAAATCTAAAAGATAATGGTCGAACAGGTCTTCTTACCATTAATTGATCAATCCTTACTGATAAATTTCTTACTCCTTCACAACTCCACCCATAAGTTCCAAAACATTGAACATATCTACTACAATGAACAATTGGATTTAAATGAGCAAGAATAATGTACATTGGTGGAAGTGCTTCACCAACAAGTGTTGGAGTTCCTAATAATAATCCTTTAGAATTTTCAAAGTCATTTAAAATAGCATCAACAGATGATGTAACGATGTTATGCATAATGACTTCTACTCCAACTGATTTAACTCCTTCTGCAATTTTTTCTGCCATCATTTCAGTATATCCATAAGCTGATCCATAAGCAATAATAACTCGATCTTTTAATACTTTTGGTTGTGACCATTTTTTATATCTTTCAATATTTTCTTTAATATTTGTTCTTAATACTGGTCCATGACTACAACAGATAGCTTTAAGTTCATCTACTGGAAATCCAATATCATTTTCAAGTATGTTAATTCCTTTAAGAACAAATGAAGTATATGGTCCAAAGATACAATCAAAATAATGTTTATATGCATCATCAAGATCTTTAATTCTATCTGTCATTTCATCATTAAATACTCTTGGATCTGCACAATGAGCACCAAAAACATCACAAGGAAGAAGAACTTTTAATTCAGGAATAACAGTCATCATAGTATCTGGCCAATGTAAAAATGGTTGAATAAAGAAATTAAGAGTATATTGTCCTAATTTGAATTGTTTATTTTTTGTACTATCAATGGTTTTAGTTTTCTTTGTAATATGTCCAATGTATTTAATATTTGTTAATGCAGCAAATGTAGCAATAACAGTAGCTTGTGGAAATTTTTCTAATATATGAACTAATGAACCACTATGATCTGGTTCTGTATGATTACAAACAATATAGTCAATTTTACCAGATTCCCCAATTACATCAGTAACACGACTAAGACATTCTTGTGCAAAATTCTCTTTAACAGTTTCAAATAAAATATTCCCTTCACTTGTTGTTAATAAAAATGAATTATATGATGTTCCATATGGTGTTGACATAATAATATCAAAGACTCTTAAGTCATTATCAAGAGCTCCAACCCAATAAAGATTTTCACATACTTTCAATGCTTTTAATGTCATTGTTCTTTTCAAAATTAATTTAAAGTTATTTATCCTTTTTATGTGAAAATATTTTTAATATTTTTTTTTATTTTACAAAAATTTATTATTTATTCTTGTAGTTCATTAGAAGAAGAACCTTCTAATTCTCAAATGATGGAAATGAATATTATGACACTAAGAGAGAACATTTTGAAAAAAAAAACTGAAATACTTATTTCTTTAATAATCATAAACTCCAATTGTAGACGTATCTTATCTATTACTTCTTCTTTTCTTTTTTATTTTTATTATATAAGTTTATTATTTTAACTAATTGACGTTAAAAACTCTATTATGATTAAATTAAATGAATGTAATTATATTCACTCGTATTTAATTGGTTTTTATCAACAAATTAATGATTTCACGACTGAAAAACATTCATCTTTCTTAAGAATATCATTATGACTTGATTTACCAATATAAGTTACATTAGAGGTAAACATTGAACATGCTTTTAAAGAATTAATATTTACCATTCCATCTCCATCTGTATAATTAATTGTATATAAACTATCAAGTGACTTTTTGAATGACATTGATGAAGCAGTTTCAATTCCACCTGAAATAATACAATTTAAAGGTACTTGATTTGGTACTTTATAATTATTTTTTTCATAATATGGTTTTAAAGTATTTTCATAAACATAAACACCAAATTCATTTGTTGTTGGAATGGCTTGAATAAATTGAGTAATATTACCAACAGTATAACGTTCTCCAGTACTTTCAATTTCCATTAATAAATCATCTTTATTCCATAATGTATCAATAGGTAATAATCCTACAACCGATTCAATTGATCGAATTACTTTAAGTAATCTATCAATTGGTAAATTTAAATGAAGTAAATCTTCACCAACAGTAATCATTTTTACAGCAACACCTGATCCCATAACAGGCATACTAATTGCAATCCATTGATCAATGTATTGATTACAAAAATCATTTCCAAGATAATCTAATAATCTATATGCCATATATCCTCCCATAGAAGATGAAATTAACACTGTTTTTTTTCCATTTATTTTATAAGAGTCAAGAAGAAGTTGTTTTGTTTGTTCGAGCCATATATCAATTACTTTCGATTGAGAAAATCTCCAATCATATGGTGCTGCCATCATATCAATTCCATCTTGATATCCAAGTTCTTCTAAATGACTAATAAATTTTCTCCATATTCCAGTAATTTTCTTCCATGGAATTTCAGGCCACAATGTATCAACAGCATAAGTTTTTCCAAAGTCAGGTGCTCTAATTTCTATTCCATCATAATTTTTCATTTGTTTTGTTTTATTATTCCATTGTAAATGCATATATTCTAAATAACATTCAGATGCAAGTTTATATGATGCCCAAAATCGTTCCCAATCTTCAACTTTTTTACATTTTTTTTTAAAATGTTCATCAGTTTTACTGATATTTAATTTAATATCAAGTATAGATGACATTATTCCTGGAATTAAAATAACTGGTTTACGAGAACAAGTCTCACCAATAGAGAATGAATATAATAAAAATAAAATAATAAAGTTCATTTGTTTTTATAAAATAATAAGAGAGTTTGATCTTAAAAGTATGCCTATTCTGATAGAAAGTTTGCCTATCATTTAAATTATTCTATCTTTTCTTTGTTGTTATTTATTATGTTTATCTTATTTTTTTATTTCATACAAAATGTTTCATTCAAAATATTATATCACTTTTACTCTCTTTAAAAATTCATTTAATAAATATGAATAATGTTAAATGTAATTATTATTTATAAATTATTGTCTTATTAATAATTGAAGATTTACTTTGTTTAAGTTAAATATTATCTTTGTTTTATAATACTTTTATTATTTATTTTATAATTAAAATATTTT